GGAAGGTCGGAGCAGGTGATTGAGGGGATGGATGGGTGGGTGGGTGGAAGAGAAGCGCGATTAAGGAGATTCAGTGAGAGTAAGGGGAAGGGGTATGAAATCTTTAGATTTGATACGGGGGTGGTGTATTGAGGCGTGATCGGTATTGATTGTGGCTTCGCGGTACGAGGGCGCTGAGCAGAAGAACAACGGTTTTGATGCGATGATTCATGATTTACCGATGCATGGACCACGCGCTCTAGCTCGTGAGGCTGCGGTACTGTTGAGACCTGCTGTTAAATTCCGACCCGTCCCGAGACGAGTGGAAGCATTTGTTGTCAACAGATGCTGGCAAGTCGGGCCTCAGACACGGCTGGACATGGTCTGAAAGCATTCGAAGCCGAACGAACAGGTCGCTTCTGGTTCTGGCAACGAGGAATTGTCGACAATTGCTGATCGAGTTTCGAAACAGCAAAAAGATGGATTGACAGCATTCGAAGTTAATGGAACATTGCGCTCTGTTTTCGCCCACGAGCTGTGGCCAACGAACACTGATCCTATCTCAGACAGAGATCGAGATGTAATGACGCAATTTCTCAAGGCTGGTCCCGTTGCATCTTTGGTTGCAGGCGTCACTCTCAGCATGTTGGAAGAGGGCACTGATGTAGCGAAACTTGGTTTGGCAGTCAGGGCACTTGTACTGATAGTACTCGTTCCATCCGTTGGTGTAGTATCTGGACTGGTAACAACGGTAGGCGATGCTGTCCAGCCTGTCACAGTTGACGCCACTATCGCATTTTCCCGATTCCAGATGGATCAGCATAGCGGAGGTGGTTGCGAAGCGTCGTTCACAGCCATAACATTCCATGATGAGCGGGGCGTGTACTTTGCGGTGCTGGTAAATTGGCAAGCATCAAATTAGCACCATGTTGCACCGAGCTCCTTTACGAAAAGGGGTATCACAACGGAAGAGCTTGAGAGGACGACAACCATGATTCTATGGAAGAGGAGGTTTCGGGCCTTGCTGGCCCCTTAAACTCGGGATCTTTCTCCACTTACCTGACGCAGATTATTCTCGTTCTCGAAGAATCGCTCACACTGCGCACAGTAATAGTGTGCCTTTTCCATATGCGTGCTCAGATCAGAAGCCGAGGGGGCCCACTTCAAGCACCCCTTACACTGGAAATGCTCCTCATTCATATGCTCGTCAAGCTCGTACCCACTCTCACAATCCACCTGGCACACAGCGCAGACAGAATGATTGAACGAGACTGCTTTGTGAGAATCCAGCTCCGCACGGCTGTCGAATTGCAGCTCGCATCTCTTGCACCAGCGGCCCCGGTGCACGGCTGCATACATGCGGTGGTCGTTCAGAGCACGCTGGGAGCTGAAGGAGCGGTCGCACACCTCACACTCGTAGTCATAGTCGTAGTCGGAGTCATAGTCATAGTCATAGTACATGGCTCGCCTTCGCAGCCTGAGAAGCTACGTACGCTGCAGGTGATAGTAGTGGGTTTGTCAGACTTGATTCGGGCAGCAAAGAAAGGGGAAAAGATCGTCTTTTGCTTTTGCTTACGAGTAAAAGGCAGCAAAATCATGGACGCTGAGAAGGAGACTGAAGATATCGAAAAGAGGGTAATGGAAATGAAAGGCAAAACACATTTGTGACGTGTTTGTAAACGAGCTATGTTTACTGTCACGTGCTTGTTCTGCTTGGCGTTCGTGTAGCTTAGCTTCAGTTGCTCCTACTATTCAAGTACCTACTCCGTACAGTTAAATCTATTCACATCTTCGAGAAATCAGCCGAGTCGTATACAGCTCCTTAGCATATTTTACTATATAATGTGATATTCACACTTGATAGTACTTTACGCCACAGCAGCAGCGCTGAAGATTGCTTTTGATTAAGGCTCAGAAAGCAAATTCCATGATTGTTACCCTTCTAGACCGACATCCAAGAACAATTGTGGTCCCATAAACCATAATCTGGGCCGACCGATATTCAGCAGGAAGCCAAAGAATACGGTCGGATTTATGACGAACCCACTCATCCTTGACATCCATAAAGGGTACAGGGCTACAGGCCACGATTGCGGAATAGCGGTACTGTGAATGCGAGGTAATGAGATAGATAACGCGCCCCTATTAATCTGGAGAGAGGCGCCATCACCAGAGAAAGAGAGGGATTTGATGATGGCACTGCCATCAAACGTCTGCAGCAGCACGCCTGGGTTAGTGTCTCATATCTTGACCGTATCATCTGATGCCGACGCTAGCGTCTTGCCGTTCGGCGGCGAGAAGGTTATGGCCTTGACTGAATTTGAATGGCCCTTTAACGTCTGCATTTCCACGCCTAAGCTGGTATCCCACAGCTTTAAATGTAATATAAGATACCGTTGCTAGCGTCTGACCGTCTGGCGAGAAGATTATGACGTTAAGTTTCGACTGATGGCCCTTAAGCGTCTGATGAATAGACTATGGAGTTGACCTCTAATAAATAGCCATCGAGCCGTCTTTTGTTGCTGTGAAGTTGCTACCGAGTTGGTGCGAAGTTGGTGTAAATTAAAACTTTGATGTGTCGCAACCCAATAATAGTCCGCCGTAGTAGGGCACGGCTATGCCCTTTTCATCTGTGATCCTGCAATCCTGCAAATAGCGAGCAACTCGATAGAAGCTCCATAGCCCTGCAGAGCACTGCAGAATCGATTGTTCAATTTGTGCACGCAATTTGTCACAAGTATGTAAGTCAGAGTCTTGCCAGAACCAGCTTCATGCTCTCGACTCGTCTCTGGCGAGGCCAATCTCCCTCTCATCTATCAACCTTGCAAAACGGCCACCCCACTCATGGATCTCCAAGATGCGTGGGTTAAGGCTTGCACGGAGTTCAATAAGGCCGCTGGCATCGACCCTGCGTCCGCATCGGAAAGTAAAACGATCAACGGCGAGGATATTGTCAAGAAATTCAATAACAAAAAGGCTAAGGATGCCGAGGCCAAGGAGAAGATCAATAAGGCCGGGACAGCAATCCGCAACACGATTGTAGCCGTTGAGCGCGTCGGTCATATCGCTGCCCAAGGCGCATCTATAGTCTTCGGCAGTCCCGCAAACATCACCATGAATTGTATTTCGTTTCTCGTCGATGTCGGTTTTGAATACAAGAACATTGCCCACAACATCGATGACCTCTTCAGTCGTATCGCCACCATCATGGGCCGTTTCCAGATCTATCGCGACTACGAACATATCATGGCGCCGGCCATGATCCAGTTGGCGCATAGGCTCTTGATGGCCATCGTGTCGATCTGCGGACTTTGCATCAAGAAACTGAACCAAAACAAGGTGAATAAATTCTTGAAAATAGCTCTCTTCAGCAACGATGGCGGCGTCCAAGATCAAATAGGCCTTTTGACATCCTTGGAGGCCGAAGAACTGCACATGAAGGGAACGTTAACTCTGGTAGCCACGGAAACCAACAGGCGAAATATTACATCAGGGTTCGAAGATATGAGAGCAACTGGAGCCAAGATTGTTGACTCCGTGAGCCAGCTGAATGCCAGCTCCATCGATCAGAAAGTTCTCAGCGAACTGAAGGACAAGCTCGGTGTTGACGATTCGAACTCCAAGGAGCACCGACTCTTTCAGGACAAGCTGATGGCGGGGAATTGCTTGTGGCTCAAAGACGACACTCAATATCAGTCTTGGTCCAATACGGCCAACGATCGGGAGTCACTGTTGGTGCTTCAGGGCGACGAAGGCTGTGGAAAGTCATACACGTTAACCGCCATCATTCGAGACCTCTTGGTGCGATACCCCCAGGGCCGACATGATGCGAACAGGGTCTCGGTTGCGTACTACTACCTCACGCGAGTCAGCAGAAAAGATGCTCAAAATTCAAAAACCAGCTCGTTCATCAGAGATGCGCTGAGAGGATGGGCCTGGCAGATCGCCAACAATGATTTGTTCTACCGCAAGGACGTTCAGGCAGTTTTCAAGCAGAGCTCGGACTTGGGAGACCTCAAGGAGATGTGGGAAAAGCTGTTCTTGAACCACTTGGACAAAATCACCTGTTTGTTCTTGCTGCTCGACGGAACGCATGAATTGGAAGAAAAAGAACACGATGACCTCATCGCTCTCGTTAAGACTCTGTTGGTATTGGGCGCTAATTCAGGCCGGTTGAAGATCATGCTAACTTCTAGGCCACCACTCGTTCAGAAATTGGCCTCCCAAGCCTCAATGGACATCCCAATCGTAGACTTGAGGGACAAAACCCATGCCGATGTAGAAAAATACATACGGGACAAGGCCAATACCTTGGCGGTCTTCCAGAAAACCACACGGCAAGTCCAAGAACTCAAGACCCGAGTCTGCTCCGGGCTTCTCGAGGCCATCAATGGTAGCTTCCTCATGGCCGACATCAAGCTTCGCGAAATTGGCAGCAAACATGATCCCGAGGAGGTCTTGCAAATCGTAGAAAGGGCCAAGGCAGGTGCTGACCTCAAAGAGTCCATCGTGGAAGAGATTCGCAAATGCAATCGCACCCTCAACGCCAGAGAAATCAAAACCCTTAACACCCTGCTGCTTTGGATCATGTACGGCGAGTGGAGCCTCCAAATTTCCGAGCTGGAGTCCGTTCTATTCATCCAGCAAGGCCGACACTCCCTTCAGCCACTCTACAATGAGATCAGAGTGAAGTTTTCCGCCTTTTTTGACTTGAGCAGTGAGGCCGAGGAGCGCGATTGCTTGGTGACGCTCAAGTATGACTCAATCGCAGACTATTTCAGAGGTCTCTCCGAGACCCGTCGCTCGCCAGACACGACAGGCGCCCCTGCCCTGACTAAAGGTGAGATCCGTATGGTCCAGCATTTTATTCAAAAGCTCTGTGAACAAGATCTGTATGACAAGCTGGAGCTTAGGGAGTTCTTTGACCAGAAGCTATCTCAATCCGACACCAGCGTGGCGGTCGACTGCGACAATGCTGAGGCAACCATCGTGCTCGGTTGCCTACAAGCCATGACCGGGGAATTTTCACAAGAGGCCCAGCCCTTGCTCGTCTATGGGCATTGGCAACTAGCCAGTCATTTAAAGCTGATTGATCTGGATAGCATCGACCCTCATCTGAAAGCAGAACTGGGACCCCGGCTCGTTAAATTGTTCACCGATCCAGAAGCTATAGAGAAATCGAGCCCGCAGCCCTGGGCGAGTTGGGCATACAATGATGAGGGGCTTCAGGAGGTTTTACGGCTGTTCCGCAGCTCAGCCGTAATGAAAAAGGTTTCAGGTTCCAATCTCAACAACCAACAGTGGGTGAATACCATTTTGAGTGATGCCACTCCGCATCTTGCTCTGCTCAAAGAGTCTGCGAAGGTGAAGGCAAGGCTCTGGCTCACGACAGAAGATTGGGACAAAGTCCTGTCGCATTTTCAATGGCTCTACGGATATCATAACAAGGTCTGCATCGTCGGATTTGGATTCAGGACCTCAGACTAACAGAGATAGATCCAAAGCACGGAGAACTCAGACATCAAAAGGATCCAAGATGTACCGTCCGGAGCAGACATCGACGCGGAAGAGATTCACGATATCCTGCAAATGGTGCAACATCTACAAACACTTGATGCATCCACGCCCAGCGTGTTACGGAACCTTGGAATCACGTATTGTCTATGTCGACACATTCCCGAAGCTGTGAATCACTTCAACCAAGCCCTCGCAATTGACGCGGACTGCCTGCTTGCTCGCGCGGGTCTTGCCCGTGCGTACACCTTCGAAGTCAAAAATGGTTCTGAGCCAGACCTGGAGAAAGCCCTGTATCACCAAGAGCTCGTCATTGAGCGTGTTGCAAGCGGCATGCGCCTTTCTTCTGATGGTGAGCCCAAAGATGATCTGATGCTCCTTCTTGGGGACAAAGCCTCTTGGCTTAGGAAGCTTGGCCGGTACGACGAGTCGCGCAAAATTTACCAAAACTTGCTCCAAGAGCAACCCGACAACGACGCGATCCGCCTCGAACTCATCTACACGCTCTGCGAGGCGCAATGCTACAGCGAAGTCGTCGAGATGATGCAAGCGCTGAGGCAGGAGGCCAGCAAAGAGATACCGCCGAAAACGCGCCTGTCGTGCTTCTTCCACGCGCACGCCAGCGACCAGGAGTACCACATTACCATCGCCCGCGCGTTTCAGCAGGTTGGCAGCATGCCCGAGATCAAGAGCCACTACCGGCAGGCTCTGGACGACGCCAAGCAGAACTCTAAGGCGAAGTCCACGTACTACCACCTCATGTATTACTTCGCTGCGATGCTGTACAAGCACGGCGACAACCCGACGGAGCAGGAGGAAGCCGTTCGTCTCTGGGACAGCATCGCCGCTATCTCCAAGCCCGATAGCAACCTCTGGTTCCCGCAGATGCTTTCCGTCCGGCGTCTTGCCAGGATCTACATCCATGATATGCTCAACAAAGTACAAAA